AGCAGGAGAAGAGGAGGAAGAACGTGATGTTAGAATCGAAGGTGAAGAGGAAGAACGGAGGAATGAAGAAGATTTGGGATTAGAAGAATGAGGGTTAGGGATTGAGGAAAATAATTTGGGGATTAAAAGTAGGGAAGGAATTGAAGCACGAGGGAGTAATACCTTGGACTTAGCTGATGTGTTGGAGAAGACCAAGGGAGCAGTAGAGAAGAGTGAGAGGCCCAATCTGGACGGCCCAATACCTGCAGATGATATAGAAGGATAGGAATCAGTTTGTTATTATTCTGTTATGACAGCTGTCCATTTTTAGTCTCAATTCCAGCTTGTAACTAAATAATACCTGCTGTGTAATCACATATTTTCCTTATGCAATGAATGAAGTATTCTTTTCTAAATCTTCTCTCAACTTTCTTCTCTCGAATCTCTTTCTTTTCTCTCAATCCATAACAATTGGTAATCAGAGCTACGATTCTGGCAAAAGATTTTTTAGGGTATGACAAAGAAGAACCAATCCATGGCAGAAATGGAGTTAGCTGGGATTCAGAAACAGATTGAAGACCTTGCTGCTTTGGTGAAACAAGGTCAGAATGAGACTAATCCACCTAAATGGTGGGAGACTCAGGAGAACATGATTACTGCACTGGAGGTTAGGATGACCTCAAATCATAGCTATGTGGAAGATATATTGAAGATACTGACAGGCAGAACTGGGGACCAAGAGCAATCGGTGGGAGAACAGGTACAATCTCCTGATACTTCTAAAACTAAGGAGAAGACTCCTATTATGGTGATTGTGGTGAATGAAAAATCTAGGTTTACTTATAAAACGGATGAACCTGGATTATTAAAGACGACTAAATAATCTCTGTTTTAGATGTGGTGAAAAGTATTTGCCAGGTCATCAGCGTAAAACCAGGCAATTGAATATGATTACTGAGGAGATGTAAACTTCTACATTGGAAAATGATCATACTACTACAGAACACTTTCAGCAACAAGAGGATGAAAATTTGGAGATTTCTATGAATGCTATTACGGGCTGCATTGGCCATAATACATTGAGAATACAAGGTACTATTCAAGGTAGACCATTGAATATCCTAATTGATAGTGGTAGCACACATAGTTTCTTGACTCCTAAATGGGCTGATATTGGTATACAAATTAAAACTCCTTATCCCTTGGCAATCACTGTGGCTAATGGTCAACAGTTATTTAGTTCTGCCCGTTGCAACAAAGTTGAATGGAAAATGCAGAGACATACTTTTTTACATGATTTTAGGTTGCTCAAATTGGGAGGAAGTGACATGGTCTTGGGAGTTGATTGGATGAAGTTATTCAGTCCAAATTAATGGACTTCAATAATATGACTCTAAGCTTTGACCATCAAGGAGAGCAAATTTGTATTCAGGGACAATAGCCCTCATCTGAACTACAACAAATATCAGGGGCTACCTTACTTAAAATGTCTGCATGTGATTCTGATATTTTGGGTCATGTGGTGTTATTAACTATGGCAGGAAATTATACTTCTATTCCTATTGAACTGCAGCATGTATTGGAGCAGTATAGCATAGTTTTTTCTGAACCTACAGGCCTACCTCCTCAGAGATCTCATGATCATGCTATTTTACTTAAATCTAATTCTACACCTGTTAATTTAAGGCCTTACAGGTTTCCTCATAATCAGAAGGTGGAGGTAGAAAAACAGATTGCTAGTATGTTTTCTTCTTCTGTTATTCAGCCTAGCAAAATTCCATTTGCATCTCCCTGCCTTCTTATTAAAAAGAAGGATGGCACTTGGAGATTTTGTGTGGATTATAGGCAATTAAATACAATGACAATCAAGGACAAATTTCCTATTCCTATTGTGGAGGATTTATTGGATGAGTTGCATGGGGAAGTATATTTTTCTAAGATTGATTTGAGGTCTGGATATTGGCAGATTAGAATCAGACCAGAGGATATTTATAAAACAGCTTTCAGAACACATCAAGGGCATTATGAGTTTAAGGTAATGCCTTTTGGCCTTACTAATGCACCTGCTAGATTTCAGGCTCTTATGAATGACTTATTCCATTCTTTCCTAAGGAAATTTATTTTAGTTTTCTTTGATGTATATTAGTGTACAACAGCAGTATGCAGGAGCATGTTCAACATTTACAAATGGTGTTGGAAGTTTGCAAGTTAATCAGTTATTTGAAAAACTGTCCAAATGTTTTTTTGGACAGACTAAGGTGGAATATCTTGGTCATATTATTTTTGCTGCAAGGGTGTCTACTGATCCTAGCAAGATTGAAGTGATGCAATCTTGGCCTAGGCCTAAAACCCTTAAATCTCTCAGAGGATTTCTCGGTCTAACAGGTTATTATAAGAGATTTATCAAAGATTATGGCATTATTAGCAGGCCATTGACAGAGATGCTAAAGAAGAATGGATTTCAGTGGAATTCTGTTACTTATGCTGCTTTTGAAGATCTTAAAAAGGCTATGTGTACTGCTCCAGTCCTAGCCCTACCAGATTTTTCTAAGACATTTTATTTGGAAACAGATGCTAGTTCTGGAGGTGTGGGGGTTGTTTTGTCCCAAGAGGGAAGGCCTATTGCATATTTGAGTAAAGCTCTAAGCCCTAGAGATTCAGCATTATCTATTTATGAAAGAGAATATCTTGCTATTCTATTAGCTGTTGCTAAATGGAGGCATTATTTGGAGAGTATCCCATTTGTTTTTAAAACTGATCATGAGCCCTTAAAATTTTTGTTAGAGCAGAAGTTGACCACTACCATTCAAAAGAAAGAGTTGACAAAGTTGTTGGGATTAGATTATACTATTCAGTATAGGAAAGGGAAGTCAAATATAGTTGCTGATGCTTTATCTAGAAGATGGGAGGATCAAGGTCAATGTTTGACTATGGGGGTGACAGTTTTGATTCCTAGTTGGGTTCAGGAGATTGAGGACAATTATAAGGATGATTCTTTAGCTCAAAATTGGATATCAATTTTGACTATTAATCCTCCTGCTGATAATAAGTGGAAGTATACTAAGGCTGTCCTTAGATATAAAGGGAGAGTTTATGTGAGAGCTACTGGAAGTCTTAGATTACAAATTATACAGAATACGCATGATTCTCCTCAAGGAGGACATTCAGGTGCACATGCTACATATTATAGGATTAAGTCAAATTTTTATTGGCCAAATCTTAAATCTATGGTTGCTACTTATGTACGATGTTGTGACATTTGCCAGCAGACTAAAGTAGAACATATTGCTAAGCCTGGTTTGCTACAACCCTTACCTGTTCCTACTCAAGCTTGGGAAATCATCACTATGGATTTCATTGAGGGTTTACCTACTTCACTAAAGAAAAACTGTATTTTAGTGATTGTGGATAAATTCACAAAGTACAGTCATTTTCTATCTTTATCTCATCCTTATACTGCAACAGAGGTAGCTAAACTCTACCTAGACAATATTTATAAACTACATGGCCAGCCTAAAATGGCCATTTCTGACAGAGATAAGACCTTTACTAGTTTGTTTTGGAGGGAATTGATGAAATAATTGGGTACTAAAGCAGTTTTCAGCACTGCTTACCATCCAGAAACAAATGGTTAGACAAAAAGGGTTAATCAGTGTTTGGAGCAATATTTAAGAGGCATTTGTTTATATCAACCTAAAAAATGGGCTAAATGACTACCTCAGGCAGAGTGGTGGTATAACACCACTCATCATACTGCTTTAAAGATGACTCCATTTCAAGCATTATATGGGTACAAACCACCTATTATGGTTTGGCCTACAGACTCTACTGTACAAACAGTCAATGTAATTATGAATAGCAGGGAACATCTAAGGCAGCTAGTTAAACAGCAGTTAGAGTTAGCCAATAACAAGATGAAGCAGCAAGCAGATAAGAATAGATCAGAAAGGAATTTTAATGTTGGAGATTTGGTTTACCTACGATTACAGCCCTATCGGCAGACTTCTCTTGCCCTGCGAAGAAATCTCAAGTTAGTAGCAAAATACTATGGACCATATAAAATAATTGAAAAGATAAGTGCAGTGGCTTATAAATTGCACTTACCAAAGTCATCGAGACTTCACCCAATATTCCATGTGAGTCTCTTGAAGAAGTTCATCGGGGATTCCTCCAAAGTTGTCACAGATCCTCCTGCAATAGAAGATGACAGTCAGTTGCGAATCAAACCATTGAAAGTGGTGGGAAGACGTATCGTGAATAGAAATGGTAAACCCGTAACTCAGTTATTGATTCGATGGGAGAACTTGGATGAAGCGAATGATACTTGGGAAGACTATTCCGTTCTGCGAGGACGGTTTCCTATGTTTGATCCTTGGGGACAAGGATCGTCTCAAGCCGGGGGTATTGTTATAGTAGGAGAAGAGGAGGAAGAACATGATGTTAGAATCGAAGGCGAAGAGGAAGAACGGAGGAATGAAGAAGATTTAGGATTAGAAGAATGAGGGTTAGGGGTTGAGGAAAATAATTTGGGGATTGAAAGTAGGGAAGGAATTGAAGAACGAGGGAGTAATACCTTGGACTTAGCTGATGTGTTGGAGAAGACCAAGGGAGCAGTAGAGAAGAGTGAGAGGCCCAATCTAGACGGCCCAATACCTGCATATGATATATAAGGATAGGAATCAGTTTGTTATTATTCTGTTATGACAGCTGTCCATTTTTTAGTCTCAATTCCAGCTTGTAACTAAATAATACCTGCTGTGTAATCACATATTTTCCTTATGCAATGAATGAAGTAGTCTTTTCTAAATCTTCTCTCAACTTTCTTCTCTCGAATCTCTTTCTTTTTCTCTCAATCCATAACAATGCGTGCTATCCAATGATTGTAGTTTTAGCTTCCTTGAAGAGGGTTAAGGAAATCAGAGGAGATATACTTTTGGATATTCGAATACTATACCTTAAGTTGGAGAGAAATGTGTTGTCAAGGAACAAAGACTATGAGAATGTTAGTATCAAGCCATATGTTGAGGATCAAATAAGACGAAATCATAATTTAAGTGCTAAAGTAATTTTTTTTAAAAACATTACATATAGTGAGAATAATACATTGATTAATCCATAACACACTATTAATAAAATCAATTAGGTGTGTTTAAAGCATTAGATTGCAATACTGTTTGGAATTCCTTTGCCTGTGATTCCAACTCCACTTGAAGGGTATAACAAAGTGTAGGGCATATTAGCAGGACCTACACGATTCTTAAATCTCTTGTCATTGTTCATCTGCACGATCTTTTCCTCGATTCCCGAAAGCCTCTCTCCAAAATCCTTGAAAGCTGCTAATGGTGTTTTATCTAACGTCCATTCAGGTGTGTCTCTTTGTCCCAGATAAACTTCGTCCGATGAATGCCTCGACAGAATTTCTATCAATGCAATCCCAATCACTGATTGCAGCCGAGCAGCGATTGTTTTAAGGAAAAACTTGTCAGGAATCGACTCGAGTTCAGTATATTCCGGAGTGCCTTTCTCAGGCATGAACCTGCGGGTTATGGTGGGACGATTGGGAGGGTAGCCTGCATAAGGATATTGGCCGAAGTTAGTGGCTGCATGGAGAGCTGAAGAAAGCCATATGATAATGGAGCATGAATGTATGAGGTCTTTGCGAGTTTGCATTTTGGGCCACCACGGCTCGTCTTTCTTGTCACCATGACCCTGCTCTCGAACTTCCTTCCACCAGGCTTGAAGCTCTGGGTCTTGTTGAACCATTTCATCGTTCTTGTAGTAAAATGAACAATAATCTTGAACCCATTGTTCAATTGCAAACCAAATCTCCAATCCATCAACAGCGTACGGATAGTCTTTTATCAGTAGTCGAAGTCCATTTGGTGAATCCTTATCGTGCACTGCAACTCCTCTTAACAAAAGAAAAATGGAAGAAAATCATTTGGATAAACACCACTTTGATTCAATAACTTGTCAAATTGTCTCTGATTTAATCATATATATTACCTTTTCTTGAGATCTGATGGAAGAGCCTGGTCAAGGAAATTCCAATCCTTGTACACTGCAGACGACCATTCCATGGAATACTTTGCAGGGAAAACAGTGAACTCTAGTAATCCACCTCCATTGATAAGAATCTCCCGGGCCACTGCATTTATATACATTGTGTCACGGAAGTGAGGGTGGAGAAGCTTATGAATTGGATGAACCACACTAAGCTGCCGATTCGCCGCAATCACAAATGGCTCTATTGTGGCATGAGTTTTCAACCTGTAATCAAATTATTATAACCATATTCATAAAACCCCCTCTTATCAAATTTGAAGTTAAGCTAACCAACGTATATTATTTGCTAGATATGAATTACCAATGGGTTATGAGCTCATGAGCAGCAGAATCATTTACAGCCACGTAAGTTTTAGCCAGCAGCCATATGGAACCTTCAACCCCATTTTGTGCAGGTGTATAGACCTTGCTTACAGCACCATATTGATCCCCCTTTGGATCTGGCGAACTTAATTCAATCGCCAGTGGCTTCAAAGTCCCGTCATCTCTCAGAAGCAACACGGTTCTCGATGCATAAGTCTTCGTTGAAGTAGAATTTATCTTTCTGATATATGGCATTAGTGAATCATGATGATCCAATATGAACAACCTGTTGGTCTTCAGTGCCTGTTCAACGAAGTCTTTTCAAATGCTTAAAAACAAATCCTGAAGAAGTAATAAACTGTTCTTTGGAATGAAACTACGGCTCTTTGTTTTCCTTTTAAGTATATGTCCAATAATTGTATCTAATACATATTCAAACAAGTTTATTACCTCGTGTATTGTGAGTCCTTCTAAGTTGTGCTCTATGTGTTCCTTTGTTATCGAACTGTTTTGATCACCGTATACTCTAGGATCTAGCTTGCTTGTTGGAGGAAATTCCTGTAATTGAAAATTAAAACTAAAATTAGAACAATTTTAAGTTATTTATTTTGTTAACTACTGAGATCAAGTGGAGGAAAACATCTAAATTCTGAAATAAAATTTTAATGCTTTAGTTTTAGTTTGGATATATAAACCTAACATATTTTCATATATTAAAATCTTATTTATTTTAATGACTATAATCATAAATTATTGAGAGAGAAAATTCAGAATGACGTTGAAGCTTACCTCAAGAAGCCGAATGATAACCGGGTTTACACCAGCAAGCATTTCTCTGGCGAATTCCTCATCTGTCCTCCATGCATTTAAATTATCTACTCCATTTCATTAATTGAAACATCAAATTAGCAATATATATATATGGGATAAGATCCAATTACAGAAACTCGTTAGTTTTGCAAAAAATTAAAGCATTGGATGAATGTAAATTGATGCATGAGGGAGAGACCTTGAATGACCTTAGGCACAGGGAATTTGAGTAGTTGCTCGCCATCCGTTCGAAAAATTTGTTTGAGCAACTCCAAGGGAATGTTGTTGATGATAGTATCCAGCAAAGTGTTAGAGGGAATTTTAATCCCTCCATAGTAGAGATCAAGAACTTCCCCAAAAGATTGGAATTCATTATCAGTTCTGTTAGCTAGATCTTTTAGTTCAGGTGGTATGGATTGAGCTCCAGATTTTATGAAATAACTCAGAAAATCCGAAAACTTTAAACGTCCAAATCGTTCATCTCTTGGAACATAAATGTCAAAGATCTTCGAAAGTGGTAACCTGCTCTCAGTGTTTGGATCTGTAATCCAAAGGAACAACAAATTACACAACATAAACGTAAGCACGACTAGAAGAAAATCAATTATTAGAATTCAAAATCTAGAGTTCAATTATTATATTGAAGTTTGGAAGAAAAAACACAATAACAATGTGAGTTCCAACCTGATTTTGCTGGAGGTCTGCCTGTTCTTCCTCTACGAGGATAAGGGTAATGAGCAGATCCACCAAGAACTGGTCGGGCGTAGTCGGGACCCTTATCAGGATCCCCCAAATCATTATAATAAGCATAGTCATAAACACGGTCCCATTCTTGAAGTTCTCCTTTGCCATTCCCTCTCAATGTGTTGAGCTCTTCTTCTCTGGATTTACGTAGTGCCTTTGGCATCTCATGCGGAAGGTATGTCTTAGAGAAAAAACATCAAACACTTGTTAGTCATTACCGAACACAACCATATATCATCCATTCGGAAGTATATGGTTACCTCGTTGGTGAAGAACAGACGGGGTTTTTCATATTTATGACCAGGATAAACCCAAGAATTGCAAACAAAGTGAATCCGACCATGGCCTGGAACACGTTCAAGAGTGATGGACCTGAGGTAGAATTCAGTATGATGATTATTTTTTATCAGTAGAGCTCCAGGTTTTCCAATTTCTTCATCCCAATCAAAGTTGACACTGAATTTAGATTCCCCTGCTACTGGAGAAATGTCTGTAAAACTCCAATGCTCCAAATATGCAGGTTTCCCAACTTTTCCTCGAAACTCATTCGCTGACAACTCAAATCAATTATCAAAGTTTAAGTAGGAGATTTTAGCATTTAATTCATAGGTCTCTTCAGAGAAATGAAAAGCTGCTATAAGACTGCATGGCTATTGAAATTTGAAAGTGGAGGGTACGAGAGTTTTGTTTTGTGGTTCATATGCTATTGGCGGTTCATTTTATTAGCTGTCTGCTGGTTTTTCAGAAGCTGTCGTTTTGTTACTGGTGACTTTGGGTAGTACCAAAAAATTCTCATATTTAACATTTTGGAAACCCTTTTTCCAAAAAAATTATAATTTAACATTTTCTAAAAACATTTTAAACTTATTTTAAGGCTCTACGATCTTTTACTTCATTAGATTTTTGAAAAATTATTCTTATATTTTTAAAAAAACAATTTTAAATTTAATTACACGATAATTAAAATTAAATATTTTTATTTTTAAAAAATAGGATAAATACACTATATGACCTTTTGGTAGGACTTCTTGGTGTGAGCAGGAAATATGAACTGATGATGTGTCTTAATTCGTAATTAAGATGTGGACCCATTTATACCTATCTTAAATGGTATGTTATTTTGTTCCTAAAGTTATATATATATACACACATTTAATTATAAAATTTTATATAAAGGTAAATTATAAATATCATCACAAAATTTTATTCTCTTTTATTTTTAATTTTTTCACTTAACATAATATATTAAATTTTTTTTACTCTGTTGTTAAATAATTAATAATATTAAAATGAAGCTATTTTTAAAAACTAATTTTTTATTAAAAAATTGTTTTGTATTTATATAAAATTATATTTATAACGTTGTTAGTGAAAAAATTGACTAGATGACCAAAAAATAAACCTAATGTATTAAATTTAATGAAAAATTAAAAAAATATATTAAAATACAATGAATATAATAAAAAAGAGAATAAAATTTAATTACTAAATTTGTAATTTATCCTTTAGGTAATTCTAAATATATTATGTAATCTAAATAATTAAATAAAATATTTTTAAAATTTTGAATTTAACAAAAAAAATATTTGAGTTTATAAATTGATATATATTGTCAATAATTAAAAAAATTATATATATATTTGAATTATTTAAAACATAATTTTATATTTATAGAAAAATCTAAAGATTAAAAAAGTATGGAAATTTAAAAATAGAACTCACCAGCGTCACCATTTTCAGCACTGATAAGCTGCAACGAAACTCTGTTCCCAATCAATTCATCAACTCCATCAAGAACAGATGCACCCAAATCTTTTAAGTCCAAAGCATTCTTTTTCATCAAAATAACAGTTCCCTTGATCTTCTCCGATTTCGCCGTCTTGTCAGCGGTGGCCGCGGCGTCGGGTAAAAGGCTCGTCATCTTGAATATCTGCTTCGCTCTATAGAAAGGAAAAGCATTCAGAGATGAAGATGGTGGTGGTGAAAGGATATTATACTCAATCCCTTGGTTAAATTTAGATGGTGAAAATGAGAAGTTGCGATGAGGTATTGGGGGGCGTGGAGAGTAAAATTTATGTACAAATCTTGGCTTCGCTATGGGAAGCTTCATTATTTTTCGTTCATACGGGAATGGTTTCCTCTCTCTCTCTCTCTCTGGTTAGATTTTACTTTAACCAAAGACTTGGTTGAAACTTAAAGCACTTTCAGGACTAGTAGATGGAGTTAGACATCCTTGTCGCACTAGTGCTTTTTCACTTGAAAAAGACATCCTACAAATTATTTATAGGGTAAACTATACGAGAAACCATCAAACTATAGTCATTAATCAATTTTACCATCAAATTATTTTTTATCTCAATTCGACCACCAAATTTTTTAATTGATTCAATCAGACCACTCTCCGTTAAAAAAATAACGGTGCGTCCGACGTGGCTATTATAAACTAACGACGATGTTTTTATATTATTATTAATGCCAGCTGAGAAGACACATGGGTTTTTTCACACAAAACCCATTAGGTTCCTTCCACCCTCCACCATCCTCGTCGCCACCTTTGACGACCGTGTCCTTCGTTTGTCCACCCATCTTCGTCGCCTGCTGAGCAGCTCGACGAACATTGTTTGTCGCTTGTCCACCCTTTTCCGCCGCATATTAAGCGCTTTGACGAGCAGATTCCCTTGCTTGTTGACCCTTATCTTTGGTGTACTCGACTGCGGTGTTAAGCGCTTGGGCGGTCGATTCCTTGGCCTTGTTATACCGTTCTTCGGCAACGCGTAAAGTCTCCATTGAATTCTGTTGAGTTGTTCCTCTAGCATAGATATCTCTTCTAGAGATAGCTGCTCTCGTTTCTCGTCACCCTCTTCTTTATCGATGTTCCTCAATTTGTCGACCGTTTCCATACTATGCATTGTCTCTTTATCGTTCTCGTGTTTGCCCATAGACTCCATTAAAGCACATGCACTCTGCTCACTTTTGGCCTTGGACTCCATTAAAGCACATTTCTCTTGTCTATTTCCACCGATCTTCTCGTGTTTGAATCCCTGAGACTCCATTGAAGCACCTATGATCTGTTGTTCAGGCCCACCGCTCACTTCGAATTTCCCTATGGCGTAATTAGGCTCTCTTCACCGTGTTTTCCTCTTCCGATTCAGACGCCATCTCCTTTTTGGTGGTAGTACACGCTGCTGTCTAAACTTATAGTCATTGTCTCCCTTTCGTGGTTTCCATATTGATATGTATCCATTATTGCACCACCCAGAAAGTCCTCCAATTTTGGGGGAAAAGTGGGCGTAATCCCTTTAACAAGAAAAAATGAGAGTATAACTTTAACATAAGGAAAAAGCAAATAAGAGAAAAATGCGAAAAATAAAAACGAAGATACATTCCGGTTGTGATTTACTAAGAGCTTCCATGATGCATATAGAGTCATCTAATTTAAGCGGCATAACAGATAATGGAGCGTGAAAGCTTTCAGTTTCTCCAACTCAATTGCAGATTCCAGACCCGTTTAAGTAAGAAGGCAAGTAGAAGGTTGTAGGAACAACATTAGCAGCAACTGGTGAAGCTTGACTATATTGATGGTAGTGATGATGAAGGTGTTGTGGATCAGTAGGTACTTCCATTTTCATGTGGGGTGAAAGAGATAAACATAGCCAGTTATTATTGCTGCCATTGTTACTACCGTCGTTTACAATCTTCATCTTCTTCTCTCTCTTGCTTTTCTTTCTAAGCAGTTTATATACCCAGATTGAAGGCAAACTCAATCATTGAAGCCAAAATAAACTAATCATATCGAAATCTGTTGACTGTTTCCCCATCTGAAAACGTTGGATTTGTGTTGTGAGGCTTAAACACCAATTGGGGCTTGAAATATAAGGAGAAAAGGTTGTGGAGAAGATGGAGATATGTGCTTTAAATTATCTCTTCTTCTTCCTTTAGTCTTTTAGTGCCATTTATTTTTTTTCTTATGTTTTAAATGGCGTGGCGTGGTGCATGTCCAACCTGGAAATAATACGTTTATTGAGCAGCCACGTCGGAAGCGCCGTTATTTTTTTAACGGAGAGTGGTCTGATTGAATCAATTAAAAAGTTTGGTGGTCGAATTGAGACAAAAAATAGTTCGGTGGTAAGATTGATTAATGACTATAGTTTGGTGGTCTCCAGTGTAGTTTACCCTTATTTATAAATTTGGAGTTTTAAATTAGCTATTTATCTGATTGGATATATTATATTCTTATATTTTGGGCGTTTTTATCAAAATATCACACTTAAACCCAATAATTACTTATTAGGCACCCTCTTCCCAAATATTACTGATCTATCACCTTTCTGAAATTGTGGCAATAAAGTGTTGATCACCATTCGCATCTTCGCGGAGTTCTATCCGAGCTAGAACCACATAAGGGGAAGGCACGCATTGCCATATGTGCCTTCATTGAGTTCTGACACGCATCATCCACGCATTTTATTATGCACGTTGAATTATTGGGATTCTATTATTAATCGAGCCTAAAAACTCGGCTTTTAAATACTCCCCCTCCCCTATAAATAACGCACCCTCTGAAAGCAAACATCACCACACCAAAATTACTTGCTTATTCTTAGTTTTATCAATTCCTTCTATCAAGCTAAGTAGATTTTGTTATTGTTTTTATAAGGTAAAATTATTTTTCATTTATATTTATTTTATATTTAATTATTTGAAAAAAAATATTGTAATAATTATTTTATATTATTTTTTATGGTTGTAAATTTGGAATGTGGGATCATACCTCGATACGTTTTGCCAATACGGTAACAATATGACATTTTGTTATTTAAATTATTGTGGAATTTTTTTTTAAAAAATGGATTAATTTATATTTTAATTCATATACTATTTATTTAATTAGGTGTATTTCAACTATTGTTTTTGTATATATAAGACTCTCAATCTTTTAAACTCTCAAAATGATGCATATTAATGTTATTGTTTACTATGATGGAGAAATTCAGGAAGATGAAATCGGCGTTGTCTTTGCATCAAATCATTCTGTCAAAATATCCTCCAAGAGAAACATCACTCTTGAAGAGTTGATCACTAAAATTTCAAGGAAGGTTCATGTTGGAAGTACTAGAAGATTGTTCTCACTTTAGTATAGATTTCTAATTGCAGTATTTCTGTTAACTTATATAGCGTTCGAACTCTCCAACGATGACGATGTTGCTATGATATTTGATTCTCAGAATCAATATTCAGACACCGATACACATATGTATGCGACATTTGTTGAAGTGTCTACGGTTTATGGTATGTCATTATGCTCCCACAATGGGCTGACTCAACAAGCTGATAAAGTTGACACCCTAACTCAAGTAATTGCGGTTCGAGGTATGTATATGACTCAAATGTTTAAAAGTTATATACAACCAATTTAATAGTATTCGACCACCATTGAAATTAGGCATGACACCTCAAAGATACTCATCGCACAAGAAATGCTAGTCATCATCTGTCACCCCAGAAATCACATCCCCATCTACCGAAAGCCCCAAATGTATGGAAATATCATCCAGCGTAATAGTACACTCTCCACACATCTGGTCTCCACCTCTTAACCAATGTAGAAATAAGGTTGGATTTAATGTTGCAGTGCCCTTCATATTTCGCTACGTAACCAAATCCAACCTCGGCTAAATACGACCAGACACGAGTAGGTATCTTTAACTTAACATTACGAATGAATGGATCTAATATACGGTCTCTCTCCTAATTTAATAAATATTATATAAACTAATACTAAAAAATTAAATAAATAAAACATTCACTGTAATTAAAATACCAACACAATTTAAAATTGTTACCGTATCGGTAAAATATCTCGAGATATGATTCCTATCTAAACGTAGCAACCCAACTTCCATTTTATAAATACAAAAAGTAATAAAAAATTAGTACAATAAAATTTAATAAAATAATAAATAATTAAATAATTATAATACAATAGAAAATAGTTTACCTTCTTAATATAAAGATTTGAGTGAATTATAAATTATTAAATAATTATGATATAATAGAAAATATTTTACCTTCTTAATATAAAGATTGATAATATGAAGAATGAGAGAATTTGAGATTTGAGTGTGGTTTGAGGGTTGTATTGAGTGGTATTTATAGAAAGAGTGGAGGGAGGAGATAGGTGGTAATCAATGTGGTATTTATGGGAAAGACGTGGATCATGATCCGAGCCTTCCGTACATGTCAAAATCCTGCGATCCGCGCCTTTCCCTTACGTGACGTCAGCTCGGACAGAACTCCGCGAAAGAACGGATGGCGATCTGCGCTTTATTGCCACCGTGTTAGGAGGTGATAGATCAATAATATTAGGAGAGAGAATGTCTGACATGTAATTATTGGGTCTAAGGATGATATTTTAGTAAAAACACTTATATTTTGTGGATGGTAATTTTAAATGTATGGTGATAAATTACATTTTTAATTTATTTGACAGATCTGGTAACGAAATCAAAATTTTAATTAGTAAAATGGAAAAGACATTATTAACCTAATATGTTTTATGTATAAACTCATTTTCTATACATTAATACACATGTTTCAATCTTATAAAAAAGAGAATATTATAAAATATTTTAAAAAATTAAATATTAATTTCTATTTTCTTAGGTCAAGCTCCCTCTCTCCCACATCATGCTTTGCTTTTTAAGAGACTCGATATTGGATGGATGTCATTGTTCCCATATGTAATGGGGTAAGGGGGAGGTAAGATAGTAGGCTGCCCTCAACACTAGGTTGAGAGCAACTTCCGTAGGAGACATCCGAATTATGAAATACCCTCCATGGGACTCGATCCTACAACTTCAATGTTAAGAGACTCGATATTCATTATCATAATTAGGAGTGAAGTTAAAAAAAATTAAATTATGATATTATATTTTAAAAAAAAATAATATTTTTTTCAAAGTGATATTAACTTTATTTTTAATATTTTATATAAATTTATAAAAACAAAAACATTATAGATTTTAATTGACACTCCTTTCTTTAAGAGACGTGCGTGTACATGTGTAGCATATCGTAAAAATAATATGTATGTGATGTGTGGGCTATATTATTTTTATTACAGTT